TAGTCTTTGTTTATGTCCATTGATATATTCCCGTTTCCAACATAATAAGCCATCTTGTAAACATAAAGAATCCAAATGTGCCCATTACAACTTTGTTTTTGGGCTGTATGGCGCAGCTTTTTGCTGTATTGTTCATTAACCACTGAACAATTGGTTTCAAACTTGCACCTTATGCCTGAGCAGGTTCCAGTTAGATGTTGGAACACATCAGTTCGTCATCATTAGTGGTGGATGGCACATCTTTGGCTACACTTTGCTGTCATTTTATCTATCCTATGTTTCCCTCTTCTCATAATGTTTACACTCATCATTTACACATGGTCTTAATGTGTCAGCATTTCTATGATTCCAATCAGGGCAATGTTAAAGTTGTACTCCTGGAGTTTTTGGAGCCATCTTGATATTCGGCTTTCTAGCTTACGAAAATTCATCAGCCTCTTCAGTGCTGCATGATCTGTGACAAAGTTGCTCTCACTGCAAAATCAATGGCATCTATATCCAAAAATGAGTAGATCTTTCAGAATTGGATATGCCAGTACAGAAGTAGTGATCAATTCCTTCTTCACCTTCTTGGTTCTTCATAATCAGCAGTACAAAAAACTTATTTGATTTTTAAAGTAGTTTGTGTAGAGGATGAGCTATGTCAGAGAAATATTTTCCAAAACAACAGTAGTAGCAGTACAGTCCAAGAAATCCTCTTACTTCATGCAGGTTCTTTGGTGTTGGTCCAACTGATGAATCTATACACATTTCTTCTCTGTTGACTATGTGTCCCAGAAAACCCGCCTGTTGATGGAATAATTTACACTTCTTGGGATACAGACTTAGGTTCTCTTTCCTCAAGCAATCTAGAACCTTCCTTAACCTTCCATAAGTGTTATCAGAGTCTTGCAGGGTATGCAATTAGCATATAGTGAGGTCATTGTGGATTTAATAACAAAAGAAGGAAGTAAACATTATATAACATTTTCATTTATACAATTTTTGCTTCCTTAACGAGTAACCTTAGCTAATCTACGTTCGAATATACAAGAAAATCCATGAAGTCACATCTTTCGAAATTTCTAGGCATTCTACGCCCTCTAGCTAACAGATTACAGCATTAAAATATAGCTTACAACAATATAATTATGTCAAGATCCTTTCTAGTGATACATTCAGGAGTCTAAATTTAATAACAACACCATTACATATCTAGCTTTCTCTAAAACTAAAATAGCATGTCTGGGCTTTTCTAGCAATATATACTTGGCTAGATTTTTCTAACAAAATAATCACATAGGCCTAATATTTGTAGCTATTCTCTAGTTTTTGATATTTTGTTCACTTTCAGCGTTTAAATCTTATCTTTACTAAAACAACCACGTACGCAGATTCTTCAAAAATATAACCACGTGTTTGATTATTTATAACAATACAATAAACTCATCTGAAAATTTTTTCTGGTAATATAACTGCACATGTAAGTTTCTAACAATTAAATTATTTGTTTAATTTTTTCTAACAACACAATCATTTAGCTACAATTTCAGAGCAAAACATTATGATTTTGGATTTTTTATTTAATACAATCACATGGCTTATTTTCTTCTAACAATGGAATAATGTGTTTAGGTTTTGCAGTTAATACAACGTGTCTGTATGTCTTAGAAAACAATCAAGTATCTCGAACTTTTGAACTAAGGCAAATAAATATGTTTTCCTACAAACACCATTAAGTTGAAACAATAAGCAAGTAATGTGTTTGTTTGTTTGAAGTTAAGCACAAATCTACACAATGGAATATCTGTGATCTGCCCACCACGGGTATCGAAACCCGGTTTCTAACGTTGTAAGTCCGCAGACATGCCGCTGTGCCACTTGGGGGTAAGCAAATAATGTTCACGTAATTTAGGCATCAACACATCCGGCCACCAAACGTCACATTTTTCACGTGGTGCAGTCTTGTGATGTATACGTACTAAAAATTAATATATTTATTTCTAATGTGTCAACTTCCTCTTGTTTAACAAATTTGCTTTACATGCAGTCCTCATATAACTATTTAGTGAAACGAAAACTTGAGCACATAGTTTCAAGAAAAACGTCAATAAATATAAGATATTTGCTAACGAATAGTAAAAGATATTAAAAGATTTGTTACTACAGGGATTGAAAAGTACAGAACACATTCAAATTTAACTGGCCTACATACTACAGTTCCTTTTTTAACTGTATTTGAACGGAACATTATCATTTCTGTCATACGTATAGTGACTGTAACAAAAACAAAAGCTGAGTAGCTTTTATATGCATAATAGAACTGGGCAAGTATGTTTGTGAGTAGCTAAATGCAGTTAACTCAAAGCCATTCAGCCATTCACTAGTTTTAACTCCATAAAGACTTCATTTCTCATTTGCTCTATTATATTAGTGTAATGTTAAAGAGTATGGATATTCTTTCTTTTGTTTATGGTTTCAAACTTGCAGTGCTAGTAAATTTATGTGTTCACGAGGCATTTGTCCAAGCCGAACCTTGACCTCTCGAACTTTCAAGGTAAAAAGCATAATTTACATAAAATATACGAAAAACATGTTCAGGATAAACTTTTCGTAAAGTCAACTAAACCAAATGAAATCAGTAAATCCATCATGATGTTAAAATTTGGGATTATTTTTCTTTTCATTTCAAAATGCCCGTATGTTTTACTTCTCATGCTTACAGACTACTAGTTTTTTTACGTTGTAAACTGTTACAGATAACTCATTGTTTTATCGCTACGTAAAAACGAGCCGCTCCAAACTTTTTGAAAATTTCTATCATGGCCTGAACAAAACTTGGACGGACTCTTGGAATTCCTTAGATAACACCTCCTGTTTTAGCTACTTAGCTCAGTAAGAACTGAACATTTAAATATAAACACACTATTGTTATACACAGTTGAAAATTTCTACCATGGCCTGAACAAAACTTAGACGGACTCTTGGAATTCCTTAGATAACACCTCCTGTTTTAGCAACTTAGCTCAGTAAGAACTGAATATTCGAATATAAACACACTATTGTTATACACAGTTGGTCTGGCATGCACGAAACTTGAAACGTCGGAAAAAAGTCTATGTTTGTTTGTTTGTTTGTTTTTGAATTTCGCGCAAAGCTACACGAGGGCTATCTGCGCTAGCCGTCCCTAATTTAGCAGTGTAAGACTAGAGAGAAGGCAGCTAGTCATCACCACCCACCGCCAACTCTTGGGCTACTCTTTTACCAACGAATAGTGGGATTGACCGTCACACTATAACGCCCCTATGGCTGAAAGGGCGAGCATGTTTGGTGGGACGGTGATTCGAACCCGTGACCCGAAGTTTGCGAGTCGAGCACCCTAACCGCCTGCGGCCGATACGATTTATCTAACTTCAAGAAATTTGGCAAGCTTCCACTAAACATTATAAGTCTTTTGTACAGAAAAAATCAGAATTTGTAATAACGTATTTTTGCTAAAAATTAATGTTTTAATATATGAAGTCAAAGTAGTCACTGCTCTGAGTGTAAAGTAATTTTCATGTTAAGATTAAAAATACTTTGCTCCATCTAAACATTAACAAATTTCTTTTGTGTAATCTCTAAAACTTCCGAAATAAATTGCCAACATTTTTTCGATAAATATTCATCTGCTATTTTCACAACCTTAATTTCATGTGAAGTCGATCAGTTTGACCAGCCTCGTAACCACCATAAAAATACAAAATAAATCAAAGTTATCCATTTTTTTCTTTCTAGAATTACTTCAAATTGTAAGCAGGAAACTATATTTGCTACACTAAATAACTTAAAGCTCTTAACATTATACATCTGTTTCTAATTAAATTTTGTTGTCAAGGCTGTCAAACTTTGTAACAAACCGTTGGTAGAACTTCTTTATCTAGATAGGTATCATATCGCGGCATCAATATCTAGATACACCTATTGTATCGTATCAGTCCTGGTTTTATTGTACATTCCATTAGGGAGTGAACTGTGGCAAAAAGAAAAACATATCTAAAATCCTATTGTTACATATACACTTGGTGAATTCAAGGCCAGAAAGGACACAAATAATCAACGAGTTAACGGAATCACGAGCTAGTATGTAATTAAGTACATCATTAAGTTTGTAAGATTAAATACTTCCCGAGCACAAAATTGGAAACCTGACTAGTTATTTTGATGTAGTTACAAACAATGCAATGTTAGAATATCATAAATTTCTTTGGCCATATACTAAGACAGAAGACAAGACCAAAGTATTGTCTATAATGTGAGCATGCCTGAACAACTTTACATTTGTCTACGCCACGGAGTTAAAACCAACTTTTATTATTTTTGATGGGCTTAATATAAGGTGTGTGTGTATATATTTATGTTTATATTCATAACCACATATACGACCTACATATATAGTCACATCCTGTATAAGATTTGGTGAGTTTTGAGTTAGGTTTACAGGGGGGATCGAAATCGGATTTTACACATAGAAATGAAGTTAACAATTACCACTTAAATATAAGTTTTTGACTCAGCATATTAAATTCGATCTACTATACAGTTGTGAACCTATTTTCAATTATTGTAAGATAGGTAATAATGTAAATATATACATTCTAAATCATTAATGATAACTTGATATAACTATAAGGTTACTCACTAGCCTGTGGAGATTGCATACCCGTTATTGTTAGTTACAGAATCCAGATAATCTTTGTTTGTTGTTAAGCTTATCTGTGCTCTGACCGCTGAGGCTATCGAAACCCGATTTTTAGCGTTATAAGCCCGAAGACATTCGGATAATAATTAAAATGCTGCCATTTTGTATCCTTAACTTATGATGAGAATAGCTTATATAAAAATGGCAGCATTTAAAATTAACAGCTATTTGTAGACCGATCACTTTGTCTGTAAGCCTATAAGTAAATCAATATATAACTTTTTTAAGAAAATTCTTACCCAATAATGAGAAACTAGTATAAAAATATAATATACTTAACCTGCTGTTAATAGATAACCGGATGTCCTCGATACATTTTGTTCGTTGATCAGTCTCTCCTGCACATGTTACATTAACACTATCTACATCTGTGGTAAAATAAGCCTGATGAATGGCAATGATACTTTCGTCACAACGAAACCTAATCTCGCTTCCACTACATGATCTTCTTTCTTCGATTTCTGAAATTAAGATTAATGAGATACATTAACCTTTCGTGTATATAATTTTATATTCTATCGTCTTGAGTGTGTTATTTGTTTCTTGTTTAACACAAAGCTACCTAATGGGCTATTTTTCCCTGCCCACCGCGAGTATCGAAACACAATTTTTAGCGTTATAAGTCATCATAGTTACCGCTGAGTCACCGGAAGGACCGTCTTGAGTGAACGCAATAGAAGAAAAATGAAAACATTGTTTAACAGTCAAAATGGTATTGTGAACTAATTTTTACCTAATTTTAAAATGATTTCAGTTTTTTTTTGCACGAATCTTACCACATAGATATCTTTATTTGATTTATTTATTATTGTGATTAATTTCTCAGCTAAGTACAATATGGTCACATTTTATCGTAATACTGAAAGATTCCAATTTACATATGCTGTGAGTATTTTCATTCGCTAGTTATACATACACACAATAGTCCTATTTCAGGTCTTACTATGATACTAGTTGGAGTACCCACCCGTCCCCTGGAAGGAAGTTATGTAAATTCACGATTAATGAAAGGTTATTTTAGGAGATGAAAAGTTGTTTCCCTTATATGTTATTGTAAAACACGCCCATAAAAACTGCAAAACATGAAAACGCAAGTTTGTATGTATCTCCCCATGGACTCAACAAACATTCATGACAAATTTGGTAAATATCCATCAACAGGGAGTGAAGTAGTGTTAAAAAAACGCCCATAAAAACAGCAAAATGCAAAACTGAAAATTTGAATGTATCCCTGCATGGACCTAATGAACCTCCATTCCAATTTTAGTGAAGATCCATCCACACCTTGAGGAGTTACATGGACATACAACAGACAGTACTATTATATATATAGATTTCGAATTTTGTTTTTATATCAATAAACGATCACATTTTAGTCACCCGAATAATTTCTTGTGTGTTTAAAACATCACTGTTTAGCAATTAACGATTTTTTAAAAGTCTATATCAACTTTATTCGTTTGTTTTAGAGCAAAGCCACGATAGTCTATCTGCTGTGTTCATCGTGGTAATCGAGCTCCGGATTTTAGTGTTGTAAGTTTGTAGATTTACCGCTGTCCCACAGAGGGACCTATATCATTCAAACATTTGTTGTAATGTTTTTTGTCAGTCATAGGACACATTAACATCAGAGTTAATTGAAAGTCATTATTTTAGCAAAAGCTGTTCCATGTTAGTGATACAGTATTAAGTTAACGCTAAATATTTAAAGTTAAAAAAATCGTAGAGCGCCACACACAGATCAATGGTAAATACTGACAGCAAAAAATAAATGCTGAAGAGGTAGTAAACCAAAATGGACGATCTCCATATAGTTAACTCATAAATGTTCTTAATGTATATGAAATAAAAAATATCAGTAAGAAGAGAAAGTTCGGAATTTCAGTGACATACGAGCTTAAACGTTTGCAGCCTCATATTATCTGAAGACTTATTAACGGCAAACTCTGTTCCTGTACACTATCGTAATCAAGTTTTAGAAATTACAAGAAATATTCAAGATTTGATTAATATTCACTCAGAATTAATTTCAATATGTGCAAAGAAAGAGATAAAATACACAAGATATGTGTATGGAAAAAACGAGAGACTTAAAAACTACTGCACGTGTAATTGGTGGTAAAATATGCCGAAAATGTGGAAACTTCGGCATACATATATGTTAAACATTTTAGCGAGTATTCGTTTATTAGCGAGAAGCCGAGGCAAAGCTTCATTGATTCAAAAAATAGCTTTCAAAGTACGCGGACTAAATCCACTTGAAGCAGTTTATCTACCGTTCCCTTACGAATGAGCCGATGGTTATTACTTCAACTTAGCCTGTTCGTGTTTCTTTGTCCACTGTACCGCTACCGCGATTATTTTTAGAGAACTTAGTTTAAACCAACCAAATATCATCACCTATGAAGTGTCCAAGAAATTCATATTTTGCAACTGTTAACATTTTGAAATGTCGATTTGCACCTTCTATCCGAAGAATACCATATTTAACTTTATTATTAATTGAATAATCTTTCACATTATTGAACTTCCTTTTTATTTATCTATGTGATATATCAAACGTTTGCTGTATAATATAAGCCTCTGGCTGAATCATCATAAATAAGGTTTAGTTATATAAAACTTGTGTTAATTATAAAATAACTTTAAGCACTCTCACAAGAACACAAAATTACGTGAAGGAACCTCATTCTTTACATAAAACTCCAATTATATGTTCTCTCTTCTTTTTAAACTCTACATATACTGGATATACTTTGATATACTGGATAAAAATACAAAATACACAAGACTGGCGAATTCCTGTATGTATTGTGAAAGTTTTATATTAAATTTCCATAATGAATATTGCCTAATAATCGGATTATCAATTTGTTTTTTAGCACAATATTATTATTGCATTACTAACAGTAATACTAAAACATGTATTTCCATAAAACTTGGTTTTAACGAACATGTGTTAGTTAAAATTCTAATAAAATAAATGCTAACTGAAAAAACGTTCAGCTCCATGTTTTTCTTTATCAGGAAAGGTTTGATTGTTTTGGAATTAAGCACAAAGCTACTCAATGGGCTATCTGTGCTCTGCTCACCACGGGTATCGAAACCCGGTTTCTAGCGTTGAAAGTCCGCAGACATACCGCTATGCCACTGGGGGCATCGAGAAAGGAAATGGGTTTTAGGAACTAGGTACACGCTTAGAAGGAGCAGTGGGATGATAGGTATATAAAAAAAAACAAATAGTAAAGATAGGAGGCTCTTATTTTATATTCTAGCTTGTCAATATCAGCAATTTGAGTTCCTAATTCATAAGAAACTTTAGACACTGTATTTGGACAACACAAACATATAATTTGAATCAATGCTGCATTCAACATACCATGTGACACACAAATATTAATATTTAGGTGTGTTCTTTCAATATTTAATTTTAAATTAAGAAATTAACTAATGCATAATACAAAAATTGAATTATAATCTACAATTTGATACGAAACTTATTGACATAAATTCAAAAATAGTAATTCGATAAACTTTTGAATGCAAGTCAATAAACGCGATGACATGGCCTTTGACCGGTAACGATAGGATTAATAAACATCTTCAGTAGTACTCAACTTGACCAATGGGAAAAATAATGCAAACTGAGAACTAGATACACGGCGTGTACTCCCAATTTCCATCACTGTTCTTTATATGTTCTAATTTCAATGAAATCAATTGAAATGTACATTTTAATTTTGATTATATAAAAATAAGTATTTTCATACAACCTTAATAATTACACGTAACTATGTTGAGTTTTATAAACATATATGCTATTAGTATTATGTGAAACAAATATAGTAGTTTTTGAACTATATTCAAACTACTTAGATTATTTATTAAGATTATAAATAATATAAATAAAACGAGTATGAAACATGTTCAATATACGTGATATACTATTTTAATCATATTTATTATTATCTATTCACATTTAATATTGTGACGAAGTACACAGCTAAGCCAGACACTGATTTAACGTAATTCTAGAGTTTGCCTGAGCTCTTGCGGAGAGATTAAAGAACACGACAAAAAAATTTATCTGACGTTCGTTCATTCTTAGACCTAATATTTAACTATAACTAGTAGTTATTTATTATGAATAACCGTCAATACCTTTTGAATTAGCTCTTGTAATATACAAGCAAAAGAAAATGAGAAGATACGTTAATTCGCCGAAGAACCAGACCTTCCTCGAGAGCTTCATAAGGCCTACTTCAGTGATCCCCTTCTAGAAGCATTTTACTCCCATTTGCTTCTGGCGCTCCTAGTGCTACCGCATCTTCCATCCGGGAGTTGGTACTCACTATGCTTATCTTGAGAAATTTTCGAGTTTTTAGCGTCATCTAGTAGAAACATATTTAACTAATATCAAAAAACTTTCAGCACAAATTGTTTAATATATATTTATATATATTTAAATTTTAGATCGATCTTCTAATGTATTTTTCTAATTTAAGTTTTAGAATCTTGTTTAAATAACAATCAAAACGTCAAAATCATACAAAAACTTTAGCAGGTTAAATATCTGCGCTTTTATGTTTTATTATAGAACTAAACTTATTTGTAATTTTATAGATTTTTTCTATATGTATTCAGTGGTGGGATTCA